CACCTCTTTGTTGCAACAAATATATTTTCAAATGAATCTTGTACAGTATCTTTTGTCATTATCCTTAAAAATCAATTTTCTAAACGATTGTGAGGAATGATCAGATATTATTTGACACATGTCATCGTATCCATATTGCATGGATCGATACTCATGCTGTTGATCACTGTATTGTCTGTTCCAGACTCGATTATTTACAGACCGCCGCCATATAGCTTGAATATTGCTTTGTGTGGCGTAAAACTAAACTCACTCACTCACTGTTAATGAAAATCAGAGTCATGGAAACATAGGGTAGTTTCAACCAAGGTCAGGAAACATTAGTAAAACCAAATTGATTCTGATCTTTTTAGTCACTGGAGGATTAGTAAACTCCTCTCTCACTCAAACTGATTCTGATATTCTGGATGTGTTTTAGTCAATGGAAATTTAACACTTTGGACTCAGTGGACCAACACATCTTGCGGCATCAGCTGTGGAACGACATCGAATGTTATACGGACTCGGACAAGAACCTGCACAAACCCTGCACCCAGTATTGGTGGACAAAACTGCACTGATGCATTAGTTGAGGTGTCGCCAAGGACCTGTGTGTTCCAGCCGTGTAGCGGTAAGTGATTGATCTTATATTGTACTGAAAGGCTATTAAACCTATGTCAAAGTTATATGTCTGGCAGTAATATTCCTATAGCCTCCTCAGGGCCGGTGAGGTAGCCTAGTGGTTGAAGCGTTCGCTCGTCGCGGCGAAGACCCGGGTTCAATTCCCCACATGGGTTCAATTTGTGAAGCCTATTTCTGCTGTCTCCCGCCGTGATATTGCTGGAATAGTGCTAAAACTCACTCATTCACTCTAGTTTGGGCCCGTGAATGTCGAACTGGTCTTCAGTAACCCATGCTTGCCGTAGGAGGCGACTAACGTTGGATTATCTCGACCAGGCTCGAACATCTACAAACAGTCGACATATAGTTGGAAAAGTCACGCACTCACATCATCTGTCCACACATCAACCCACATCAACTGTCATGGGCGGTAAAGAATTACACATATATATTATGTTGATTTATACTTTGTCAATTACAATAGAAATTGTTTCGTCCTAGACACTGAAACTCAACACTACAATATAAAACAAACCTATTTTAATAAATGTTTCTTTGCTTGTATGTATCCGACTCTCAGAGTCACATAATTAGAATATGGACTTGTTTTTCATCGATCACTTGATTGTCTGGTTTGTTTACGGGCCGCCGTCGCCTGGCAGAAATACTGCTATGTGGCTTTGGACAGTAAATGCTAACATTTTAGGTAATTTATGTGAATGGCTACCGATAGGGCAGGATTTGTTTATCCTTTTCACAAATACCTGAAGTCACTGATTTCCAGTGATGCATTCATGTGATAATACCTTTACAGGTAATACCCTTTACAGGTAATACCCTTTACAGTTACTGGAGTCATTTCCCAGGATAGTCAGGGGCCTAGTGGTTAAAGCGTTAGCTCGTCACTCCAAAAAGCGGGTTCGATTCACAACATGGGTACAATGTGTGAAACCACATTTCTGGTTTCCCCTACCGTGGTATTGCTGGAATATTGCTGAAAGCGACGTAAAACGATACTCACTCACACTGAGGATGGTCAAATAGGATATTCGTTTTCACAGATATCATCATTTGCATTTCCAGTGAATGGTGGTTTTACACAATGGACCCAATGGACCACCCCATCCTGTGGTATCACATGTGGTTCAAACAACAGCCTGGTGAGGCAGAGGGTGAGAACCTGCACGAACCCTGTTTCCAGTAGCGGTGGGCAGCAGTGTTTGGGAAGTACAGTTGAAACCATCCTGAGGCCATGTGTGTTTGCTGCTTGTCCAGGTGAGGCTTTCTTTGCTTTTGTTTGTTTGTTTGTTGTTTAGCGCCGCACTCAGCAATATCCCAGCTGTATGGCGGCGAACTGTTAGGGCATCATTTTTTAATGTGTTTCACGTAGCCACCAAATTCTGAACATGGGTCGGTCGGTCGGGGAGAATAAAATACCCCCCAAAATTAATAAAGACACAATTATCCGAATAATGTTCTTAATTCTCATTTATGGTAATTCTTATTGCAATTTTTCGCGTTCTTAGGAATTGTGACAGCGACTGATTAAAACATTTTAGATAGATAAACATTGTATATGATGAGGAGGGACGTTTTAGGTACGAGTTGGTGTACGGTGTTGGAATGGAAAAAACAACAACAGTTTTTTGGGTTTACTCCCAATAGTTAGACGTCCCAAAAGTCATCCGTCCCAATTGTCAGACAAATCAATCAGGCGTGACTGTGATTACAACCTAGTCTTTACCCACTGATATAATGAACCTGTCCCATACACTGCGGAGATGGTTTTCACATTTGTACAGAAATACTTTGATTAGAATACTAATGTTGACTGGCATACTCAATCACTGGGTTCTCCAAATGTGTTTTCACAATGTTCAATTTTATCATAACAGGATTATAGATTTTGCATACTTGTTTTCACAACCTTCCCTGTGATCAAAACAGGATTATAGATTTTGCATGCTTGTTTTTACAATGTTCACTTTGATCAAAACCGGAATATTAACAAGCATTGTCACTAATCATATCAAACTTAAAAAGTAATGAAAAAGAAGATGAAGATGAAGATTAAAAAGATGAAGTTAAATGTCAACAAAAACATGACCAGTCAACCTCTCTTGATATCTTGCTCTTTAGTTGTTCCAACACACAAAAATTTTCAAGACTGACTTTGACCTTGACATGAATGTCATAGTGTATGAAATATGCATAAATGGTACTAAAGAAATTGGTTATTGAAAAACATTCAAGGGAAGTCTTGAAAGTCTATGAAGAAAATCAAATAAAATTAGAATTATTATACAATATCGAATCTATACCATACAATGCTTAACAATAATCACGTTAATGTGATATCTTTTAGCAAAATCCTTAAACAAAAACAAGACTGAAAACATTACCAATCTAACTCGTTTTATCTATTATACATACCAAATGAGAGTAAGGTTAAAAAACAAATATAGGTATTAAAATTCTAAAAATTTCAGTCCAGCTATACATACTAGTATATATGCTGTTATCTGGGAGATGAGATAATCTATGCAGGTAGACAGGTACATGCTATGCAATATCACACTAATGTAATTTTAGAAACTTTCCTTTTTTCGTTCACGCCTTCATACCTGTTTAGAATATGTTTATATTAATATGTACAGTGGCCTTCGCATGTACTTATAGATTTGATTAAGTCTGTTTGTCTGTATTTTTTACTCGTTTTCAACTTATAGATTGTGACTACTTTGTATATTCGTTGGCAGTTAGCCTCACTGAAAGGTGCACCAAAGCAAAGGCCCTCGTGTCTTTGCGATGATTAAAGATTAAACTAAAAAATTATATCTTGAGATGACCCCCGATTCGAAATGCTTCTCAGTACAATAAATCATGATTTCTTTGTACTGTGAAGCATTTCGAGTCGAGGGTCCATGATTTATTGTACTGTGAAGCATTTCGAGTCGGGGGTCCATGATTTAAGGGGTACATGATTTATGTACTGTAAAGCATTTCGAGTCGGGGATATCTCAAATTATTTGTTAATTATTTATATTTTTTAATCTTTAATCCTAGCAAAGACATGAGGACCTGTGCGCCCAAGCTAAAATCCTGACAGATCTAATTGTATTCATTCCTGCACAGCAACTGTCATCAACGGTAACCTGACACTCTGGTCTCAGTGGACTGACCCGCCTTGTGGCAACACATGTGGCACTGGCGACGTGTCACGAACGCGCAACAGGACCTGCACCAACCCGACCCCTAGCGGCGGAGGACTGGACTGTACTGGGGCCTTAGTGGAGGTTCTACCAAAGAACTGTGTTTTATCTCCCTGTGTTGGTAAGATGGTACCTTATTCCGTATATTAGATACGTTCATGGAATACGCTCACTGAGTCTGACATGATTTTACCATAATGAGTACAGTTTGACGCCGCCTCAGCGCTATTCCAGCTATATGCCCGGAAACACCAGGGTGAGTGGGTTGAGTGTTCCGGGCCTAGTGGTTTAAAGCGTTAGCTTGTCACGCCGATGCCCGGGTTCAATCCCCGCATGGGTACAATGTGTGAAGCCCATTTCTGGTGTCACCCGCCGTGATATTGCTAGAATATTGCTAAAAGCGGCGTAAAACTAAACTCATTCAGTCATTGATGGTGTTTTAAACGTCAAATGAATCTTTAAACATAATAATATATATTAACTAAAAATTGAAAAAGACAATCTCACTTTCATTTCCAAAGGGAGGTAATGCATATTACGTCACGCCACTGCCAACGTGAACGTTGCGAATGTTATCACTGTTGTGTCGAACTGGAAGGAACCTACGTAGATACTTCGAGATATCCGAAGTTTGATACAACTGCAAAATGATTACTAAATAATGATTACGCAATAACCGAGCCTTTGCTTCAGGACACCTGTAGATTCGATATACCAAAGTTCAACACTAAGGTAATCACGGAAATAGAAATAAAACTACGAAAAGAACGACCAAAAACATTTTATTTTTATTTCCGTGAGTACTTTAATGTTGTTCACTGTAAACTAATTGTTTGATCGGCATTCTAGAGACTGGTGAGTCCAAACTGAATCATACAACATTATGGATGACAACGTCTTGTTTATAACATAGAGAAACGTTTCGGTGTAGATTCTTACACCGTTATCAAGCTAAAAGAAAACTCTAAAACTATGAACTAATTTAGGAACATAAATAATTTTCTGGATATCATCTTCTTTTATTCTTTATCTATTATCAACATAAAGAACTTTCTGGATTTCATTTTCTTTTATTCTATATATTATCAAAGAATAAAAAAAGATGAAACCCAGAAAATTCTTTATGTTCATCAAATAGCATCTTCTAAAATGCCAATCAAGCTTAAAACTAATTGTTTCCAGTTCCGGTGAATGGAGGATTCACCCAGTGGACCCAGTGGACCAACCCTACCTGTGGCATCACCTGTGGTTCAGCCAATAGCCTTGTCCAGTCTAGGTCCAGAAGCTGCACCAACCCTGTTCCCAGTCATGGCGGTCAAGGATGTTCTGGAGACAGAGTACAGACGTTGGCCCAGACATGTGTCTTCAGTTCTTGTCCAGGTCAGTGTTGTTCTTTGGGGGTGTCTGTATTAAAAGGTCTCTAGGTTCACGTGTAGAATTTATTTGGATCATTGGTTTATGTTCTCCTAAGGAAAACCAAGTTCTATGGATAGTCAACTTCTTTATTGCAATGATTGCGACGTTTCGGTGTAGGTACTAACATCGTTATCAAGCAAGTGATGTACACCTTGAACTATCCATAGAACTTGGTTTTCTTTCATCTTTACACCTTCTAAAAGGCCTCTCAAAGCAGTTAGGCTCTCCTAGTTCATTGAAATTATCAAGCAAGTGATGTACACCTTGAAATATCCATAGAACTTGGTTTTCCTTCATCTTTACACCTTCTAAAATGCTTCTCAAAGAAGTTAGGTTCTCCTAGTTCGTTGTCCAGCAGCCACTATCCCGTAAAACTGTTCAGAGAGGTCTCGAAAAAGAAGTGAATGTACACATGAGTATTGCCTTGCTGTGTTGACAGGCCACCAACCCGTGAAGGTCTGGGTAAGAATATTGATCTTGAGTAACCCATGCTTGTCGTAAGAGGCGACTAACGGGATCGGGTGGTCAGGCTCGCTGGCTTGATTGACACATGTCGTCGGTTCCCAATTGTGCAGATCGATGCTCATGCTGTTGATCACTGGATTGTCTGGTCCAGACTCGACTATTTACAGACCGCCGCCATATAGCTGGAATATTGCTGAGTGCGGCGTAAAACTAAACTCACTCACTCACTGAGTGCCATGTATCTTCAGGCAACATAAACAGACTTTGCAACACGTGTCAGTAGTTGCACACGGTTGAGCAAGACATGTTCACCTTCTCCAAGAATACCTGGAGTCATCATGTATTTTTCTGATCTGTGTATAATAATCATCTCTATATTACATTTTACGTCATTATCTGTTTTAGCGGATAATACAGACTGGTCATTATCTGGCTTTGTTGTATATAATCCTTATTGTCTTCGATGTATCCGTGTTTATTGAAACACGTGGAGATCGGGTTAGAATTGGTCTTCAGTAACCAATACTTGTCTATACCCGTGAAGATTCGGATTTGAATTGATCTTCAGTACCGATGCTTGTCGTAAGAGGCGACCAAAGGGATCGGGTTGTCAGACTCGCTGAATTGATTGACACATGTCATTGTATCCCAGTTGCGTAGGTCGATGCTCATGCTGTTGATCACTGGATAATCTAGTCCAGACTCGATTATTTACTGACCGCCGCCTTATAGCTGGAATATTGCTGAGTGAGGTGTAAAACTAAACTCACTCACTCACTCACTTCATAATGAACTACCCAGGAGTAAGCGAGTATTTGTTAAAGTGTTACGTCTTGGCTGTTACATATTTTGCCGACGGTGGTGTAGCTGCGTCGTTAAAGCGCTAGCTCGTCACACCGAAGACCTGGGTTCGATTCCCAACTTGGGTACAATATGGAAAGCACATTCTGGTGTGCCCCGCCGTGATATTGCTGGAATATTGCTAAAAGCGGCGTAAAACAATATTCACTCGCTCACATACTTTGCACTCGGAGCCACGAGACCTTTAATTCAGAAATTTGGTTTGGTGTTATAGAATAGTCTGTAGGTGGTATTCTTTTCCCCTGAGTTTTTATGAATAACATGATTTTTTTAGGGTCTGTATTCATATTACAAAATACAAATATGTCTGTTAACAGTGAATGGTAACCTGACACAGTGGTCGCAGTGGACCAATCCAGTATGTGGAATCACTTGTGGAACGAGAACTAATATCTCACGTACCAGAACGAGGACCTGCACCAACCCCGCCCCTAGCTTTGGCGGCGCTACATGCACGGATAGTTTACAGGAGGTCCAACCAAAGAATTGCTCTTTCTCGCCATGTCCTGGTAATTGAGTTTTCACGTATTCGAAAAACATTATGTCTGATGATTTAGTTATTTGTTTGTTAAACTGTGTGTGTGCGTGCTTACGTGAGTGCCTGCGTGCGTGCGAGTGTGCGTGCGTGCCTGTGTGTGTTTTCTCTGTGTGTTTTTTTCTGAAGATCTATGATTATATATTTGGAATTCAATTCGTTATGAACCCGAGAAGATCCGGGATAAAATTGATCTTCAGTAACCCATGCTTGTCGTAAGAGGCGACTAACAGGATCGGGTAGTCAGGCTCGCTGACTTGGTTGACACATGTCATCATATCCCAGTTGCGTAGGTCGATGCTCATGCTGTTGATCACGGATATGTTCCTTCCAGGCTTCTGTTGGTAAGTAGCGTCCTTAACGCCATGTCAGAACACAGGAACATTTGGCCCCATGGTTCCAAGAAGTGAGGGGCGGTGGAGTAGCCTAGTGGTTAAAGCGTCTCGTCACGCCGAAGACCCCAGTGCCATTCTTCACATGAGTACAATGTGTGAAGCCCAATTCTGGTGCCCTCCGCCGTGATATTGCTGGAATATTGCTAAAAGTGGCGTAAACACACTCAAAGACTCCATGAATTGAAACCGTCCAGACCAACTCGTGCCAGTCTGAAGACCATTAAATTGAATCAAATCTCATGGCTCATTGTCTTGTCATCGTAATGTCGACAATACTCTCAACGTCGGCATCACATTATCTCGAGCGGCGTGTGCTGGTTTGAAGACCTGCTGAAATTAATTAAATGACCACAATGAAATTAAGTAAAATGAATCGTCGAAGTGTCGTTGTACAGATTAACCTTAGCGCTAAGACAATCGTAAGTCTCATGTAAGGTTTTTGGAGTTAGGGTCGACTTAGAGTAAGGATCTGTACAATACATTGAGACTACAACGGCACCCTGAAAAATCTCTGTATGAATCAGATGAGCAACGAGACGTTGTTCAATACAACCCTATCGCTGAGACTATCGTAAGATGGCGTGGGAGCTACAGTCGACTTAGCGTAAGATCGCTTTGTACAACGGCACCCTTAAATAAATCGAATGGCTAGTGTCGCAGTAAATTGTCATCGTGACGTCACCGTGTGTGACGCACATCATAATATCAACCACTTTTTATACAGGTTCAAATAATCCCCTTCTACCATGCAGGTGTTAATTCTAAGATGCTTCACTTCAAAATAAAAAAAGATCAAAGACGCTTTTTACATGACGTCACACTGTATTGACGTCACTGCGCCATTCTCGTCTGCTCCCTCGTAATCAAACGTGCCCATGGTAACCGACGTCACGATGCCATGCCTACTACAGTAAACTACTCGTAGGTAGCACCCCGTCTCTTTGTTTACAGTTGCTTCGCATCAGTGGCGGAAACAGTATGTTTTCGATGGAAATAAATGCCTCACCTCGAATCACAATGAAACAGCGACGGGACAATGTTCGCTGACAATTAGGCGCACCGAGTTAATGTGGCTTTCCCATCCTTATGAGGTACCCATTCACAGCTGGATGGACTGAGACACACAGTCACAGTACATATACCAACGGATTCGTGGGTTCTTTTAAAGTGCACAGGGTTGTGTACTGTACACTGCATCTATGGAAATGTCGGGTGACTAGTCAGCTTCATCTGGATTTACTGTTCTAAACTGACGTTGGTAGTAGAAGTGCGACGTTCACATTTCCTCATGTGGTTTACGATAATCACAGACGTAGCTAAAATAATATAGAAGATATTTAACCCGACGTAAACCGTCTTCAAACTGTTTATCATTTGTCTTAACGTAGGGGGCAGACACGTAAGTAGAACAGCACGTCAGTTTGCCCTGAACGAGGATAGTTAATTTAGGTCACCGACACTGTTGCTTTTCTACCAAGATTAATCGTCGGTTAGTATTAAATTTGGCATCAAGAAATATAGTTCGCTGTACCCTCATGTATAGTGTAATAAAGCACAGTAACCCTTTCCATCTCTTATTTGCCAGCATGTTACTATTTACATTGAATGCTGGTAAATATGAAACAATAACCCTTTCCATTTTTTATTTTTCCACCATGTTTCTATTTACAGTGAATGCTGGTAAATATGAAACAATAACCCTTTCCATCTCTTATTTACCAGCATGTCTCTATTTACAGTGAATGCTGGTAAATATGAAATAGTTACCCTTTCTATCTTTTATTTACCAACATGTTACCATTTACAGTGAATGGCGGATTCACCCAGTGGACTCAATGGACCACACCTTCCTGTGGCATCACCTGTGGCTCCTCCAACAGCGTTGTCAGGTCCCGAACCAGAAGCTGCACGAATCCTGCACCCGCTAATGGCGGACAACAGTGTATCGGAAACACACTTGAAACATTGAGTTCCCAGTGTACCTTAAGTGTACCTTGTCCAGGTGAGTGATTGTCGAGATATAGCGTAAAACCATTGCTACAAATGCAAGTTGTATGGGGGGCGCTGGGATAGCCCAGTGGTTAAAGCTTTCGCTCGTCACGCCGAAGACCCGTGTTCGATTCCCCACATGAGTACAATATGTGAAGCCCATTTCCGGTGAACCCCGCCGTGATATTGATGGAATATTGATAAATGCGGCGTAAAACTAAAATCACTCACTCACTCATGGATTAGGCCCGTGAAGATCTGGGTCAGAATTGGTCTTCAGCAACCAATGCTTCTCCTTAGAGGCGATTAACGCGATCCGCTGGTCAGACTTTTTAAATAGTTGATATTTTTCATTCAACTGGGGAGCCTAGTGGTTAATGCATTCGCTCGTTACGCTGAAGACCCGGGTTCGATTCCCCACATGGGTATAATGTGTGAAGCCAATTTCTGGTGTCCCCCACCGTGATATTGGTGGAATGTTGCTAAAACGTGCGTAACACTAAACTCACTCACTCAAGAGTGCAAAGCAGCTAAAAATATTAATTTACTCAGTTAAGTATGATTTGTTTATCTTTCTTTCAGGATTCAATGACAATAATGCCACGTTTGCTTTAAAAAACCTTGTTTATCATTGACTCTAGTGAATGGAGGCCTGAGCCTGTGGACTGAGTGGACCAACCCACCTTGCAACAGTTCTTGTGTAATACGAACAAGGACCAGAAGCTGTTCCAACCCACCCCCCAGCAACGGAGGACTCAACTGTGTTGGAGCTATCCTCGGGGTGGCGAGGAAGACGTGTACCAACGTCCCTTGTCTCGGTACGTAGAACGTATTGTACAGAAAACGTATTCTCTAAACAACCTTTAACCGTCTAGCATTGTTAAGATATTTTTTATTTTGCATCCATTTTATGTATTTCTAATTTTCAAAATCTATTTTTATTTTAGTTACAAATGTTATCATAATTTCTGAGCACATTATTTCTCAAATTTGTAAATAAATTCTTTCATAATTTTGTTAGGAGACCCGAGTTTCAATTGCTGTTGTCAGTACTGAGAACCTCTTGATTGTTTCATTTGCCCGATATAGAATTTACAAATTATGTCAGACTATGGTGTGCATGTATGGAATGGTTTGTAACGTAGGCATGCTATTGGGGTAGTTCTCTCAGCATTGAGCTATATTGAGCATTTAAAGTCATAGAAATAGGAGGTACTAACTTGTAGCTGTGTTGGGTAATTTTATAACTACCAAAGGCCTGTGATTTCCGTTATTTGTCTCTGTACTGAAGACCTGTTGAGGCAGTAGCACTGGTAATTAATAAGACTTGTAATTTCGTTCTGTGTCTCAGTACTAAATGGGCGGTGGTGTAGCCTAGTGGTAAAAGGGTTCGCTCGTCACGCTGAACACTCGGGTTTGATTCCCCACGTGGGTACAGTGTGTGAAGCCCATTTCTGGTATCCCCCGCCGTGATGTTGCTGGAATATTGCTAAAAGCGGCGTCAAACTACACTCACCAGGATTAAAACCTATTGGACACTGGACATTTCTTGTCAAGGGGTACAGTCAAGCAGCTATGATGGACAGAATGAAACTATGCCGTGAAAAGTCGTCTTAATGACCGATGAACATCCGTGTGAGAATCGATCTTAATCAAGTACTGATTGAGAGGCCAGTGAAGGGTGGTCAGGCTTGGTCAGTTGGTTGATGCACCCGTGAAGGTACGGGTTAGAATATTGATCTTCAGTAACCCATTCTCGTCGTAAGAGGCGACTAACGGGATCGGGTGGTCAGGCTCACTAACTTGGCTGACACATGTCATCGGTTCCCAGTTGCACAGATGGATACTCATGCTGTTGATCACTGGATTGTGTGGTCCAGACTCGATTATTTACAGACCGCCCGATATAGCAGGAATATTGCTGAGTGCAGCGTAAAACTAAACTTACTCACTGTTAATGAGAATCCGAGTCATGGAAACATATAGACATCCCGAGCGACAGTAGGTAGTTTCAACGGCGTGAAACTAAACTCACTCACTCACTCAGTTGGTTGATGCATGACGTCAATCACTGGATTGTCTGGTCCGTGTCAGTAAGATCCCTGCTTTTATTCCTGTATTCTCTGTTTAGGTGAATATTGATTTGCCTGTGCATGTGTTTATGAAAGGTACTGCCGATGATACGGAATGCGCTCACCCTTTTACGCTGTACATTTTTACAATCGGAATAGTAACTCCTTGGAATCTTTTATGAAGAAATGAATAGGAATTGCCTTTTATGAAAAGGAAGACCAGTATATTTGATATTCATTCTAAGATCTGATATCTGTTGCTAATCTTAAGCTAGTCTTTCAAACACGTTCTGTAAGTAACATTTAACCTGTTTTTTAAGGAAGATTTAAACATTAAACATGGACTGACAGTAATTATTTCGGACATTAACAGTTCCAGTAAATGGCGGTTTCACTGCATGGACCGCGTGGACAGGACCTCCGTGTAGCGTCACGTGCGGAACCGGCCCTGGCGTGACCAGGAGTAGGTCAAGGACGTGTACAAACCCTGCTCCAAGCAACGGAGGTGCTGACTGTTTCGGAGACGTACTACAAACAATATCGACGCCATGCAACTTCGCAGAATGTGGAGGTATGGACTGTAACAGGAGACTGTAATCTACAGTATATTGAGTGTTTCCAGTGTATACTATCCATCAAAAGTTCAGACTCACTAGTATAAATGTAGCAACTTACTTCAGTCAACTGTTCGGAATTAAATTTTGCAAAATACTCCATACTGTTTAAATTACTGTTTACACATGAACTGATTTATTGTAAAACAAATTCGTAACGCTGAAAACGTTATTGCCATAGGTTCAATAAATAATGAAACTCAGTGAAAATTGATGAATTCTTAACAAAGCTTTACACTCAAACGCGATATTTACACATGCTTTTCAGCAATTTGATGCATGATCCTCATGCAATTCATCTGCATGAGGTTTGCAGTTGGTTCCCCGAAGTTAGTGGGGAAAGTCTTTAGTGTAACCATATATAATTTATATATACACATAACATATAGTGAGTGCTTTATGTGAGTATAAACGTTTGATGGGTAGTATATATCGAGGGTGAATATTAAGAGATTCACGCTAAAAGTAAGAGATAAAACACAAGTTTCACCTTATAAGAGTGCAGTTCAGTTGCATCTGGAATTTATCATTTTATACCCACATTGTTCTGTTACCTGACACGTGTTGCACGTGCATGAGATAAACTTGTCACACTCGTTGCTATAGTTGGCATACTATGTAATATCCTACAAACCAAGGTGTCCCTTCAATAATGACTTTGAATACAGATGTAGATGTGTCTATGCAGTACGATATCTATTTCCAACCCTAATTCTTTGCATTGGACATCTTTGTCTGAGACATTACGAATTCTGTTGGCATTCTGTGATAACGAGATCATATCCTCGTTGTTCCCCGTATATATTACATGTTACAAATACCTTTTGCCACACTCGACTTACAATCCTTATCTATGCGGATAAAAGCATGAATGAGAAACTGCAACATGCAATTATGATGATGATGATGATTTGGAGATTTTACTAGCGCTTTCCGATACATTGCGTACTTCGCCCGTGACAAACTTGCATATAATAGGTATCTATTTTTAGACCTGTATTTTCATTAGCTGAGAACATGCCACGTGACGTTTCTTAAAACACGGGTATTGTCTTGAGATCCACACTGCCTTTAGCGATTGAAAGTATCATCACACTGCGTGATTAAGCAAACTGACTCAAAGGGGGCCCCTCAAAGGTGAGGAAGCTTTTGACAAGCAGAGATAACCTAAGGCAAGGCTAGGTGTGCGTCCGTGGCATCCCGTAACATTTGATTCGGTTAATGTTGTAGCTAAAATAATCTTCGTCATATGTTGGTATTTTCAGGTTATCGTCTTTTTGTTTTTATTTTTTGGTTTTCTGTGTTTTTTTGTGTAGTTTATTTGGGGTTGTTGGTTGTTTTTTTGTTGGTTTCAGGTGGTGGGAGTTGTTGTCTGTTTTTCTTTTCTTTTTTCTTTAATAATTTACAAACGCAGACCTCGGTCAATATTAGTTTCGTCATTAATGGATAATTATTGCATGTTGAAGGTTATATTGATAACATATCTAAAACTACTCACTCACTCACTCATTGGCTCTTTGTCAGGTCTGTGCACATCTTTGACGTATCGAAACGGCATCGGCTACCGCTACCACCCCACCGACTGCGACAAGTACATCCAGTGTTACAACAACCCCAATGGCAACGTTGTTGCTATGTACAGGAGATGTCCGTTTGGGAAATTCTGGAACCAAGTCACATTCCAATGTGATGATTCCTGGAGGGCTGTATGTCCTCACGGTAAGCAAGTGTGTTTACAAAACTTTAAAGAATTTCAGTTGGCCACAGTCAGACCAGCACTTTCTTGTGGCATTCCCTGAGATTGTCTGAAACAAGGAACGTGTGGCGCACACGGAGAATATATTCTTCCCAGTTCATCCAAGACGAACTGCAACCAACGAGTGTGAGGTGACAGTGTCAGTACCATTGTAAAAGCACAGTCGCTCCACACTTTATGTCTTACACATTATATGTCAGTTACATCTTTATGTCTTAAGCACATTTTATAGTAAAACAAGCACAGTCGATCCACACCTTTATGTCTTAAGCACATTTTATAGTAAAACAGGCACAGTCGCTCCACACATTTATATCTTAAGCACATTATAGTAAAACAAACACAGTTGCTCCACACCTTTATGTCTTAAGCACATTATAGTAAAACAATCACACTCGCTCCACACCTTTATATCTTAAGCACATTATAGTAAAATTAACACAGTTGCTCCACCGCCACGTGCTTGGACGATAGCCCTACACCATTATGCCTTAAGCACATTATAGTAAAACAGGACCTATTATCTCCAGAGTAAAGAGTTTTGACGACAGCTCCACATATTTAGTCTTAAACATATAATAGTAAAACAAGCACACAGCCCCACAAGTTAATATGATAAGCATATTATTGGCAAACAAGAACATTCGCTTTGAAGACGGGCGAGGACGACAGCCACACTAATTTCCATGTTCTGTAAAACAAGCACATTTTCTATACAGGCAGATCCAAGGACGACAGTACCATGCGTTCCATTGTTATGCTCATCATTGTCAAAAACAGGCATTCTCTCAATGTCAACGTTAAGCACATTTTCTTTACAAAGTGCTCGGATTAAAGCCCCGCAATTGTATTTTGTTAAGCTCATAGTTGAAAAACAAACACATTCCCACCAAAGATATTGCTAGGAGGACAGCAAAACAGGCAAAACAGGCACATTGTAAGAACAAACGACCCCACACATGTATTTACAAGCACCTTATTGTAAAACAATAATATTCACTCCACAGACAAGTGTAAGGACAACAGTCTCACACCTTTAGTCACAAACACATTAATGTAAAACAAGCACATTATCCTGTGGGATATCGTGTGCTGGACGTAATGCATCACAAGCCTCGATGCTTAGCACATTATTGTAAAACAAGCACATTATTGTAAAACAAGCACATTCTCTCAACAGACAAGTGTAAGGACAACAGCACTGCCAACTTCAACCTCCTGGGCAGCTGCCGCGCCTACTGGGAGTGCGACACCAACTTCGTGGCCGTGCCCCGGTGCTGCGGCGTGGGCTACAGCTACGTTGATCGCCAAGGCTGCATGCCCAACGTCTTCTGTCAGGATCTGTGTCCCACTGCTTGTGAAGACAAAGGTGAGTGTGTTTATGCTGGTATGACAAACAGAAAGCAAGAGACAGAGGCCACCCAAAAATACGTCATTGGATTCTGTATAAGAGACAAAGAAAGCGAGAGAACGACAGATAGAGAGACCGCCCTCTGTTTTGTCAGTGGTTCCGATATGGGAGGGTGAAAGTGAGGGAGAGAGACAGTGGGACCACCCACTATTGTCAATGATTCAGTCTGAAAGAAAGGCAAAGAAAGTGAGAGAACGAATGATAGAGTGGTTTATGTAACTCCATTAATCATATTCCATTCTCAAGCGCCATTGCCTCAAAAGATTTTTAACAGCACCTTTAAAATATTACCCGTTCTGTTTAAATTTTCAGGCTGTTAGCCATTTCAAGAATGATCACACTTTTCCACGTGTGCCGTTCGTTTTTACCAAGATACGTGCCCTGTGTTTTAAGGCACCGAAATGTGCAGAGTTACTTCCCTTGGGTGCCGGAGAAACCTGTGATCGGGTGTTCGAATCTCAGTTCGCCCCACTCAATGTCTAGGTTTGTCAGCAACATGACCAAGCTCTTGGCTTTCACCAATGTGGGAACTAAGATTGGCATCACTTCGGTTTTTACTCGCGGCGGTGGTGTAGCCTAGTGGCAATAGCGATCGGTCGTCACACCGACGACACCTTTTCTGTTCCAACATGGGAACTGTGATGTTGCTGGAATATTGCTAAAGCGGGCGTACAACAATACCCGCTCGGGCACGAAGTTGCGACGCCATGGTATAACTGGAATGCTGTTCATAGTGACGTTAATTCTAACTTGTGTTTCAGACCTCTGCGACAAGCGACCAGACTGGACCTCCAACCCAGCCACCTACAACATGTCTGTCGGCGTTCTTGGCTGGGTACCCACCTCGTGTGCTAGCGGAACCTACTTCGACATCACCAACTGCGGGTGCAGTGCCGTCAACCAATGTAACGCTCGACTTGAGATCCTCATATAATGTGTGAAACAGATTTCTTGTATCGCTTCCGGGTTATAACTGGGAATTTTCGGGGTTTTTTTTCAAATCTTATTATTCATCCATTGGCATATACAAAAACAAATATAGTATACATTAACACAGTGGTAGCTGGTGTACATACTCAGAAATAATCGCAGTAAGGTGTGTCAAATATGTGTTCGCTAGAGGCAGCCATTTTCTGTAGAAGCAGTTAAGGGTCTGGGATTTTTTAGCAATATCTTTCTCTATGTTGTAAGTGATTTTCAGACGTTTTTCAAACGTACTTCTATCTTGTATAATACTTTGATTTTTTTAGCAATGAGAATGATATTATTCATGAGAATTTGTGTGCATGGAAGGCCAAATGATATGGTTTGCTTTGTCAAGGAAATGCCTTTAGGTACATACTGGTTAAATATTGCTTCAAGTTTTTACCAGAGTTTAATGATGCAGTGACAGTCAACATATACATGGAAAATATCTTCGTTACTGGGAGCGGCGTAAAAATATACTCACGTACACAAAGTTTTGGGGCAGAATTTATTATTTTTTTCCATACATTCTTTTAGTAAAACATTTGGAACTATTGAATTCCATATTTAGATGGATAATAGGGTGAACGTGTCGTAGGAATGACATACACTATCCTAGCCTTGCTCGAACGCTGTACTGAATGCTGTATGTAATTCTAACCTTCGAAGAGGCAAGTCTAGATAAGCGGACAGTGCTTCTAAGGACCCCGGTCTGTTGTTTATTCTTTTTCAGTAATTATCATTTATGCTATTAATTTGACCTTAGAGACTTGTGCAAGTCTAACACTGTCCTTAAAGGCGGCCTTCCACTAATCTTACAACACATGCCTCAATCTACAAACTATCGTTCATGATTAACGTCTTTGTTTCTCTCAGTCTGCTCGGCCTCCAACGCTGTCACCTTCACCGCGGGAAGTAGCTTAACGTCCGCCCTAACGTCATGGCTTCAACTCTCTAACGTTGACGTTACCAACGGCATCGCAAACTTCAACGGCAGCAGTCGGCTGGAGGCCAACATCACCATGCCAGCTGCATCCAGCGCCAATCCTTTGATTGTCCGTTTCCGGTATCGAGAATCTGGCGCTGTTTTCGGTCGTCGGGTACTGGTCAGCACAAGTGGTTGCAGGAATGGCAGCAGTTTGGTCATTGCCGTCGACAGTTACACCATGACCTTTGAGCTGAAGTCTTGGTACGACTGGACGGTCAAGCTACCAGTGTCCATGGCGGTATGTCAATCAAAACTGCCAACTTGCAGGTTCAGTGTTGTAACTTTATGACTTTGTCCGATTCTTTTAGTTTTTATAACGCATTAAGATTGTGTTTGTTTGTTGTTTACGCCGCACTCAGCAATATTTCAGTTATATGGCGGCGGTCTGTAAATAGTCGATTCTGAACTAGACAATCCAGTGATCAACAGCACAAGCATCGATCTACACAGCTGGGCTACGATGACATGTGTCAACCAAGTCACCCGATCCTGTTAGTCGCCTCTTACGACAAGCATGGGTTACTGAAGGTTCATTCTAACTCGGATCTTTGCGGCTAAAGACATCACGGATTGTTCATGTTTCCAAGCGTATTGAATGATGCGTAATGATTTCCCCTCTCACAAACACCGTACACCCGGCTCGGTATACATGCATTGACTCTCCGCTGTGGGGATCCATGAAGATCCGGGTTAGATTTGATCTTCAGTAACCCAGCTGTGTCGTAAGAAGCGACTAACGGGATCGGGTGGTCAGACTCACTGACTGGGTTGACACATGTTATCGTATCCCAATTGCGCAGATCGATGTTCGTGCTGTTGTTCCCTGGACTGCCTGGTCCAGACTCGATTATTTACAGACCGCCGCCATATAGCTGGAATATTGCTGAGTGCGGCGTAAAACTAAACTCTCTCACTCACTCTGCTGTAGGGCTTCTCACGTGGGGACTGGAAGACAGTGACCTTCATGTATGCGGGCTATGACATGCTGGCTGTGGTGGAGAGCGAAACGCTCAAGTATGCTGCCAAGGTTCATGGTGAGTAGCCGCTTGTTTATCATATTAGGGTGAATGAATATGCTTTTACCCCGCTTTTAGCAATATCATGGCAGTGGACACCAGAAATGGGCTTCATACATTGTACCCATGTATGGAATCGAACCCGGGTCTTCAGTGTGACGAGCCAACGCTTTAACCATTAGGCTACCCCACCGCCCCTTAACATATTAGAGATTAGGTCTCGTGAAAAGATCTTCGGAGAGTTAATTTTAATTTTATACAATATTCCAACACGGGGCCACCAGAAAATGGGCTGCAAACATTGTACTCATGTGGGGAATCGAACACGGGTTTTCGGCGCAACGAGCGAACGCTTTAACCACGAAGCTAGCCCACCGGCCCTGAGGAGGTTATAGAAACGTTACTGCCAGAAAAAGAACTTTGACATAGGTTTGATAGCCTTTCACTATAATATAACATCAACCACCTACCGCTGCAAGGCTGGAAAACACAGGTCAAAGTCGACACCTCAACTAATGCCAAGTACATGAACACAAGCTTTGGGAGTAAATGCGACAGACAGGCACGAAAAGGATTATATGTGTGCTTCAATGCGAGGATTTGGGACAGGAGTGTCACGAGGAAAGATTAAGCAAGCAATCAGAAGTAATGGAACGGGTCAAATGACATTTGCAGTATCACTGACATGCATGTTTCGTTTGTTGCTTTGAGCTGCACTCAGCAACAGATTGTTTGCATAACAGCAGTATGTAAATATTCACGCACTAGATATTCCAGTGGTTGAAACAATGAACACCGATCTTAGCAATCGGGCCACGATGACATGCCATCAGCGAGCCTCAGACCACCCAATCCCGTTTGCCGCCCCTTACGCCAAGCATATGTTGCTGAAGACCAATTCTAACCTGGATCTTCCATGTCATTGAGAGCGTATGCCCAACATGCCTGACTGGCAAAATTAGATACCACCGTGTTAGCATGAACAAGGCATAATTGTGAGATGTAATTAGACTTACAGTCCGTCTGAGTTCAAATGAGAACGGTGAAGGATTAAATAACTCGAAATAGCGATAAGTGCACAAAACATAAATAAGACACATGGTCCTAGAACATCTGTACCCAACAGGATCTGAAATCTGACCTTTTTGTGGCTGATCACGGAAAAAGTTGTTTAAGAAACTATCATATAACATTGTTCTAATTTCACGCTTGACACCTTGGGATGACAAACGGTTGGTGGAAAAGTGCAGTCTGTTTCCTGATTTGCATAGTGGGCTGTGCTGAGTTGCACCTGAAGTGCGTGCCGGCGCTGTTCCACCACCCGTTTCTCACCCCTCGGTGTGAAGCGTGAAAATACTGGCGATAAGTACTAGCGATATAGAAAGATGACTTAAAGCATAAACTCATTCTGTAAGTCGATGAGTTACATTTGTACAAAGGTTTGTTTTGTAAATAGATGTTTGTGGTCAGACACCTGTTTGTCATTTTAGCTCCACAATCAACCGTAATGAAGTGTGGGTTGACTTTCGGATCGGACAGCAAGACCGATGCTACCAACAACTTTATTGGACAGCTTGACGAGGTATAATAACATATTATATTATGTAATAATTATTATTTTAATAACATATAATTTATTTTCCATGTGTGGTATATATGTAAGCTATAGAGCTCTTTCTTTGATATACTGAAAGAAAACGTATATTATATGTGGAATGGTGGCCAATGATATAGTGAGTGAGTGAATTTAGTTTTATGCCGCTTTATGCAATATTCCAGAAATGGGCTTCACACATTGTACCCATGTGGGTAATCGAACGCGGGTCTTTGGCGTGACGAACGAACGCTTTAACCACTTGGCTACCCAAATGATATAGACGCTCATGTATCACTACACGAAAAACTGGATTTCCCAACTTGGAAATGAACTGTTAATAGACATTCTCCCAGGACAATGTTAAGATGTCTATTATCACAGTGCTTCAGTTTGACCAAATTCTAAAAGCAATTTTATTATAGTCAAACTTTAGTTTTTCTATACTTCAATGTAACTTATTTTATTTTGTCATTAAGCGTAAAAACAATGTGATCACTGTTTGCCTTCAATGGAAATATATATAATGTACCGTATTCTATTAGTTTGGCTGAGCCATAGCTGAATGTCCCTAAATGTCCCCTATTTCTGTTTCAGATGTCGCTGTACCAATGTAACCCCGGTAACCTGTATTAATAGATGCTATGGCTGATTGAACACAGACAATCAACAGATCAGCGTTTTATTCGGTCAACAGAACGTCAAGTTAATTACAATCAACAGAACAGAAGTTCTGTAGGATCAACAGAGTTTTATATCATTTACAATCAACATTTCTTTGAGTTAAGTACAGTCAACAGAACGTCAAATTATATAAGATCAACAGAGCCTCACGTTTAAAAACAGTCAACATAACGTCATGTTATTTACAATCAATGGAACGTGCGTTATATACGACCAGAAGAGCCGCACATTATTTACGATCAATAGAACGCTTAGATATAAACAATCGACAGAGCTTTACATTATTTACAATCAACGGAACGTCAAGTTCTACACGACAAACATAGCTTTACATTGTCTACAATTAACAGAACGTCGCTCTATATACAACGAGCAGAGCCTGACGTTTTTTACACTCAACAGGACGTCGCGTTATAAACGACGAACAGAGCCTGACGTTATTTACAGTCCACAGAACGTCGCGTTATATACAATATTTATGTAAGACGAAAGGTAGATTCTATTGTGCTTTTATCGATTTTTCAAAAAGCTTTTGATTGCGTTGATAGAAAGAAATTGTTATATTACTGCTTACTAAAGGTTGTCATGGAAACTTGTTTAACGTCATTCGTAATATGTACTCTTCTGTAAAGGCTTGTATTAAAACTTCATCTGGTAGAACAGAAGAGTTTTCGAGTTCTAGCGATGTGAGACAGGGTTGCATATTAAGCCCAGCTTTATTTGTCTTCTTCAGTAATGAACTTGTAACAGAAGTATATAAAGAGTGTAGTTATAGTGTATTTGTGACACAGGATATTGTTGATTTAATGTTACTTCTTTTTGCTGATGATGTTGTCATGTTTTCATATACTGTTAATGGCCTGCAGAAACAATTAAATGTACTGTCTTCCTTTTGTAAGAAATGGGGTTTAGAAGTCAACTTACAAAAAACAAATGTCATTGTATTCCAGAGAAGTATTTAACATCATTAGAAAATAAGGATTTGATAAGAGACATGTGTAAATTTAGACTTTCCCTACACAAATTTAATGTCAATTTTTCCAGAAGGTATAAACAAGACGATATTCACCTAATTAAATGTGTAAACTGTAAGTTGGGTTTTATTGAAAATGAATTCCATGTATTATTAGTTTGTGATAAATATAAAGATTTGACACATTAAACATGTCCATAAAAACAATATGTTAATGGTAAATTTATTAAACTCTCACAATCCTCTTATTATACATGCAGTTGCAACAATGTTAAAACATATATTTATTGCTAGATAACTTTTTCAATTTGTGCTCACGTGACAACAAAAATACATTATATATTAACTGTAAAATGGGCCATAAGGCCGTATATTACCGAATAAAGTGTCTGTCTGTCTGTTTGTCTGTTATTTACAACGAGCAGAGCCTGACGTTATTTACACTCAACAGAACGTCACGTTATATACAACAAGCAGAGCCTGACGTTATTTACACTCAACAGAACGTCACGTCATAAGCTATCAACAGAAAGTGACGTTAGATTCAACACTATCTGTACAATAAAATCGGATGTAGTCATCAAATGACTTGGGACGTTATAAACAGACACCGTGAGTTTTCCAATAACTTATCCAATTGAGAAGGAAGTGTGAGACAATGTTACGTACGTGCCAAAAACAATAACCGCCTCGATTTCATTCTGAAAATACAACTTGATCTTCTGACAATATATCAGTTACCTTCCCGGAATGGTGCTAGTAAAGGCTAAATATAGAACAAACAAGAGATGGTTATCGCGGCATTATTGAAGTAATATAGTTACATTGTAGGACATGACGGCTTATGATTGTAACCATCTGCACAATAATCACAAAGATGGCGTGATACTAGTATATTATTGGGGTGTTTCCATACTGTCCTCTTTATGGGTTCATGGTGACTCACACTGGACCAAAGTAAACGCCGATGGCATTTAACAAGGCAAATAAGAAAATACAAGTTTCATGAAACCTTTGTGATCTGACTATCTGAATTATATATTTCGAAATGCTACCAGTCAGGAAGGAGCTAAGATTGTTAACAGAAATCAGGAACCCAAAGATAAGGAAGTGTGACGTCAGCAGTCTCTTGTCCTGTGGTTGCAAGTTAAAGGATGCAATCACGCGTAATCCCACAAGTGTCTGTCAAAACAGGGTGCGATTTACTGTTTTTTTTCAGTACCTGCACCGTCTCCACCATCAAAATTTTGGTTGTGCCATAGAATAATGTTACTGGTTCTAAAAGGTAACATACATACTTGTCTAGCAATTTTTTATTACACGTACTCAGTATCTGATACATTCAACAAAACCTGAACCCATGACGATAAATGATGAATGATTCTGTTTGTGTGCAACCCTTTACTGAAGGTCACCTGCAACAGCCATTTTAAACATGCACCAATGCAGGTTGTTAGTAGCGAATCGCACCCTGCTAAACCATGTGGTAATTTTGTTTGACACGGGCCAATTTGAGCGTAATACGAACAACCGGTCAATATTCCTACTTATGAAACCTTTGCATATACAGCATATACAGATACCACATATATCCACTCTACTTAAGCTTATCTTGACGCGTTTCAATAGTATAATACACATGCAGAACAAATGGTTGATACTCATGTATTAAAAGTTGTGATCGTTGTAAAGTGAATCATGTTTTGTTACCAAAATAGATCTTTTAACACTGTTATTCGTGTCAGCCCCATGTTGTTGAACTGTATTCCAATAAATGCTAAACCGAAACATGAGTCGCATTAACTTATTCTGACAATGATCTACTTTTCAGCAGATCTGAATTTTCTCGAGTGAAAGAGAAAATATACATCACAAACCACTATGGTTACACTTAATTCCAATTACTTGTTTAATAAGAAAATGATATTTACAAATTTTAAACATTAATAACATCGTATTTCTATATATCATGGCGAGATTTAGGCAGCATGACCTTAACTAAGACGTCATAGACTGTCCCAGTTTGATGAGATCGTAAAATGATTCACAATTCATCTGGCTCACTGGTTACACCTCTTATGTGGTTTTTTTGCGCTTATTCAGTGTAGTTCTGTAACGCACAATGTGACTGATATAACATCAAGTCCGTACCAGACCGCTTAACCTTTCTAGCGACAGAACCTCGTTTTGAGATTTCCACGATTTTCAGGTTTCTTTTTGTCAGAGCTCTCTGTACGACACAGCACGCTGCACAACATGTTTGCAAGGATTATAAGGAGCGTAGTGTTGCAATATACAAGTGCTAAGATGTATCAAATAATACTGATCAATATTTATGTATCTAGTTAAATTAATTGGTCTGAAAATTCTGGACTGGTTATTGTAATAAAGTTGCGCAATAGGACGGAACCCAGTCAACAGTAGACGAGGCTGTTGTGTAATCAATGTTTTGACTTGAGAACAAATGGTTGATACTAATGTATTAAAGATTGTCAATGTGATCGTTGTAAAGTGAATCATGTTTTGTTACCAAAATAGATCTTTTAACACTGTTATTCGTGTAAGCCCCATGTTGTTGAACTGTATTCAAATACATGCTATTTTCGTGATCTCATTGTATTTATTGGTTTGATTCAAGTTTATAGTCATTGGTTTGTTGTTTATTGCCGCACCCAGATTAGTCTAGCTGTATGGGGATTGTCTGGACCATACCATCCAGTGATCAACAGCATGAGCATCCATTTACACATCGGGATTCAATGACGTGTCAACCAAGTCAGTAAACCTGACCACCCGATCCAGTTAGTCGGCTTTTACGACAAGCAGGGGTTACTGAAGACCAATTCTAACCCGGATGTTCACGATTGGTGATCGGTCAGAGTCTGGACTTCAGCAAAGAATGCATAACATGGATCTTGAACGAAAGTTATTGCAGCAGTCAGGGCCTAAATGCAGCTTTCACTCTTGAGCGAGTATGGTTTTACGCCGCTTTTAGCAATACTCCAGCAATATCATGGTGGGGGGATACCAGGAATGGGCTTCATACATTGTACCCATTGGGAATCGAACATTGGTCTTCAGCGTGACGAGCGAACGCTTAAACCACCAGGCTACCCCACCGCCCCTAAACCGTTCGAGGAATAGCTGCAAACTACGTTTCAATGGTTATTTATTTGGTCATTTTTTGGTTTGTTGCTTTCTTGTCCAAAGCCGAACTCAGCGATATACCAGTTATATGTCGGCAGTGTGTAAATAAACGAGTCTGGACCAGAAAATCCAGTGATCAACAGCATGAGCATTCATCTACGCAACTAGGAAGGGATGACTGACTGACTGACTGAGTTTAGTTTTACGCCGATTTTAGCAATATTCCAGCAATATCAAAGCGGGGGACACCAGAAAGGAAGGGATGATGTGTGTCAACCAAGTCAGCAAGCCCGACCACCTGATCCCGTTAGTCGCTTCTTACGTGAATGTATTTAGTACCGTGCATCTGCTTCCTTAGAAAGCAAAGAGTTCCATTAGCTGACTTTGGTTTTCAGGAATTCAAAAGGAACCCCACATCACCTTTGCTATAAATATGGAGGACGATCCCTAAGTTTTGAAAACAACTTATTGATTGGGGTGTTTTTTTTCATTTCATACTATGGAAATGGACGCAGCACTTTACATTTTTTTAGAAAATTGGAACCAAACTTTAGACAAAGAAAACAATCCAGCCAATAGTTGTTACGCAATTGGTTGAACAAACCTTTCTAAGATCAAGCTTTTAAATTGCTGTAATTCTTGAAATAAATAAAATATCCGTAAAGCTGTTTCTACTACCGATAAATATTTACTGAAATCTCTTGCCGATATTTATATTATAGATTTGGACCAGGCCTGTGATACTGTTTTGGGAAATGTAATGGTTTGTGGTTTGAAATGAAATGATTAAAAGTAATATAAACAAGAAGGGTTTTTTAAAACCTGCTAAAAAATGTGCAACATGTATCAATCAACAAATGAAATCAAGTGGTAAGACAGAGAGAACAATTATCCCCTGTATTTTTTCTCTATCTACCGAATTGTGTTGGTAATACCATCTGATCTTTCCAATGAGGTGAAAAGTATACTTCAAAATGTCGGGTTACCATATATATGACAGTCCCAAAGTATTCCTTCCCCATCCTGGCATAAAATATGATCACTAATAGATCTGTTCAAGCAGTCATGGTATGCCGCCTTTCAAAATTCATCAAAAGGTAAATTAATTAATACGAACTTGTCAAAATTTCCGTGCAGCGTTAAGCCATGACTGACGCAAAATCATGAACAACGACAACCGTAACTATCGACATTTCTGACTTCTCTTGAAAACAAAAAAAACTAACAACAAATAACAGTACGCACTACGCAGGTAGTCAGAATATTTATTGGCGTGTATATATAACAAAGTGGAAGGAGAGTACTGAAAGGTTTTTAAGTTCTGCTCCAGAAAGGAGCACTACCACCAAATTCAGTCAAAGTCAAACTTGTTGCCATTGAAATGCAAAAAATATTTTATTCAGAAATCCATAAGTGCCAAAAGGCACCAGTACACCACCAAACCAATCTATGTGCGAAGTTTGGTAAAGAAATATTGAATGGTTTTAAAGTTCTGCTCTGGAGAAGACAAATGTGTATGGACAAACGGACGGACGGAGCCCATTTTAATGCCCCCTCAAACGCGCTGCAGGTGATAAAAAGGGAGAGGACAAAAACGTATGAAACAAAAATACTACCAGAGCTCCAGATAAGCAGGTATTTCCAATTTCAAGTGGGTAACCATACTTTTTGATACCCACCATATTTTTAAAATGCGGGTATCATTTCAAATAACAAGTTTAATAGACCCTGTGTGACTTTTTGTATCCAATAATAGAGATAAACAGAATCTGCCAGGTTAAAGATAAATAAATAATAATGCTCAATTATAGCTCATAGTTAATTCAGCTTTATCCACTTGTGCAGTAGTTATATAGTGGGGTTTTGCCGCAGATGCGGCTTAGATGCTTATTTATGGGAACTAAGTCCCCCAGACCCCTAAAAAAAGCGTGGGTGTAGCCCTGAGCCATCCTTCGATGTGCCTCTTCAATAAAAAAAATAGCAAAAGCCCTCTGTGGCCACAACCCGTGGGCAACAACCCGGGCTCCGTCTATAGTAGCGCAAAGGATGTCTGAAACCCGTCATTCCACTTCCGCTTCAGTACTTCGTGCACGTTTGGTGGCTTTTTCACCTCGAATCCATGTCTGATAAAATACAAACACGATGCCCGTAGGTAGTTTGAAGAACGCTGAATATGATACATTGGTTGACGAACGCTGAAAAAAATTGCACAGGCCACAATCCATTATTTATCTTGAGCTTGGCTCCGTCTATACTAACTACAGTAGCGCAGAACCAGTCTCGCTCGCCTCGCGCACGTTTGGTGGCTTTTCACCTCGAATCAAGGTGTAATAAACATACAATCACGATGCTTTTAGGTAGTCTAGATCACGCTGATCACGATGCATGCGTCGATGGACGATGTAAACAAGTTTAGAAGCCACAATTGACTAATTTAAAATCGGGTTACATAAGCTCGCAAAGCGTATGACCTATGTATGGCTTGAATGCACCATCCCTGACAGAGTGACACTGCTGGTCTGAAGGGGATGTGCAGGACTTTGAACCTAGAGTTTTAGCGTTTGAATCCCAGACAGAACATATTTTTTTTTTTTTAAATTTGTACTCGAACTAGTATTTTGGCTAGGTCATAATGATATCTACAAAACAGTGTAACGTGAATCTTTTACGAGGTCTTTGTTCTTGGTCAGGAAGGCTTGAATCATCTGTTGTCGGCCTTGTTCTATGATTATTTTTTCTCGTCTTCACTGAAGTCGGCGGTTTTACGAGTCTTGGTTCGAATCTCTTCCTTCATGCGGTGGTATTTGGTGAGTTCGGCTAAAATCAGGCGGAACTCTTCTTCGGAATTATTACTGTACGTGAGCACCGACGTCGATCGTGTTCAGCTTGGTTTTGGCCAGCACTCGGATTTCGTCGTGTTTTAAGGCCTTACGTTGCAGACGACGTGAAATGGATTTAAGGGCTACTCCCGCAAGTCCAGATACCCCGGCGGCTACTTCTAACCCGAGGATGACGGGTGCGGCCACGATGGTGGATAATAAGCAGATGCCAGCACCCCCGAGTCCCATGCCAGCGACTACGTGTGCCGTGTCAATCCCATTGATGGCATTGACGGCTTGATGGTATATTTTGTGAAATCCGAGGCGCACGTCGAGTTCTCGTTCCAGTTGGCATTTGATGTCGCTGATCTGTCGCAGACGAAATCCATCCACGGTTTCGAGCGTTTGGGCCACGTCGTCCCTAGCCGGATACAATCCAATCTCGAGTATATTATGAGTTAGCTTCAATTGGTCCTCCTTCAATATTCGATGAATGTACTTTAACCCAATAGAATTTACGTGTTCGGATAAACGAACTAATGCAAATGCAATGTATGGCAATGAATCGTCATTTGAAATACATAAATTAT